GAAGACTTCATCAAGGATCTGGAATAGGAAATCTCTGAGCTGATGAAGGGGAGCTCTGAGGTGAAGCAGCTCTCCCAGTCTGAAGACCACCTCCACCTCCTCCAAAGCTTCTCCTCCCTGAAAGCTGCTCCACCCACCAAGAACTGGACAGAGGTCAGAGTCCGTCCACCATCACATGAGGGGACTGTGGTGAGAGCTGTGGCTCAGCTGGAGGAGAAGATCACGGAAAAGATGAAGATATTGATAGAGGCTGAGGTGGAGAGGTTCCAGCAGTCTGCAGTGGATGTGACTCTGGATCCTGATACAGCTCATCCTGACCTCATCCTGTCTAGGGATGGAAAACAGGTGAAACATGGAGATGTTAGGAAGAAACTACCAGACAATCCAGAGAGATTTTCTTGGTGTCCATATGTTTTAGGACATCAGAGTTTCTCTTCAGGCAGATTTTACTTTGAGGTTCAGGTTAAAGGAAAGACTGAGTGGGATTTAGGAGTGGTCAGAGAGTCCATCAACAGGAAGGGAGAGATCACACTGAGTCCTGAGGATGGTTACTGGACTGTTGTGTTGAGGAATAGCCATGAGTACATAGCTTGTGCTGATACTGCAGTCCCTCTCAATCTCCATCCTGGTCCTGAGAAGGTGGGGGTGTTTGTGGATTATGAGGAGGGTCTGGTCTCCTTCTATGATGTAGATGCTGCAGTTCTGATCTACTCCTTTACTGGCTGCTGCTTCACTGAGAAACTCTACCCATTCTTTGGTCCCAGTCTTAATGATGAAGGTAAAAACTCTGCTCCTCTGATCATCTGTCCTGTTAATCAGGCTGAAAGCTCCTCTGATGAAGAATGAATCTGTAGATGAACAACAAAGTTCCACCTCTGATCTCCATTTATTCCCTGGATTGCTGATGGCCCATTGGTAGTACGGGTTTGAAGTGAAGCCACTGGCCGCCATATTGGTACTCCCTAGTTAGACAGGTCGCAATGTAAATAATATGTGCGCTACAGCATTGATCAACAATGATAAACACTGGCTGTTTCATAGCATCAGTAGATTACTGTAACTTATAAAAAAAAAATAGGTCCACCACATTGCAGAGTCATTATGAGGACAATGAAGTCTATAAATCATGTAATATAACATATAATACAATCCATCACAATAAAAGTGATGTGTTAATGGAGCATTATAATGCAGATGTGCCAAAAGTGCTAAATTGATCATGTGAGAAGTCTCCCCGCAGTCGGCAAACTGCTTGTTTTTGCAGCCAAATGCTACACATGTAGACATTTTTACTGCATAACTCTGTGGGAGTGGGGAGTACCAATATGGTGGCCTGTGGCTTAAATTTTTCCGGGCTATAAGCAATCCAGTGAATAAATAGAGATGTGTGAATTCCATCTCATTGTCTTCTTCTGTGGTTTTCATAAGGGCTAATGATCTTTAGACTGGTCCCTCCTGGTCCCTCTGTGTCTGTCTTGGTCTCTCCTGGTCTCTCCAGGTCTCTCCAGGTCTCTCCTGGTCCCTCCTGGTCCCTCCATGTCTCTCCAGGTCTCTCCTGGTCCCTCCTGGTCCCTCCATGTCTCTCTTGGTCTGGTTTTGCTGTGCTTTGATAAATCTGGTTGATTCTGGTTCCACCAATCAGAGAAATATTTAACTCCCTTTGATCTTTACCTGCAGACAAACATCCCAAAAAACAACAAACTGAAAGAGATTTAAAAGCAACAGAAGAGATGAAAGCTAAATGAAGGCATCTAACAAAGACAAACTGCTATTGCTGCTGATTTTAAACATCATCTTTTGAAATAAAACATACATTTTTGACTTCCATTTTAAAATCTTGTACATTTTTACTGTGATCACTAAACATATAAACCTATATAATTCAGGGTGTAATGTTCCTTTACCTTCTGTCGTTCACTTTATTAAATATACTTTATCAATTTTGTGTTCTTGCTGTCATGATCTTGGTGCTGATGGTTTGTTTTTTTCTTTGCTCCTGCTCACCTGTCTAGTTGTTCCAGCGGCTGATTAACGCCGATCATTTCCACTCAGTTCCTCAGCTATATATTATGTTTGCTTGCCTTCCATTAGTGAG